CCCAAACCCCTAAACCCTTAAACCGAGCAACGACGGAGTCCAAGTGGTTTGTCGGCTCGTCGAGGAGGAAGACATCCGCTCCCTGGGCGACAGCGCAGGCCAGGGCTAGCCGCATCTTCCAGCCTGCCGAAAAGACTGCCAAAAAGAGAGTGAAAAAACCTTCTCTTCGTAATCATAATAATAACAATAACAATAATAATAATATTGATAATAATAACAATAATGATGATATTAAATATCAGAACAGTAATAACAAGAATAATAATTAATGATATTAAATAACGAGAATATGCTCCCAACTTCTCGTGACTTGCTCGGAATTGGCTTTTGCCTCCGCTGAGCTCGCCCACCTGCTTGCCTCAGCCATGCTTGATCCTAGCTTGAGCGTTACAGAGGGGTTATATAATGATTATATANNCCCTATTAGGGGTCCCTCCTAACCCGCATGGCACAGCGAAAACTGCCACCGAGCAATGCATCCAGCTGCTGAACATGTCCGCATCGAAGCCAACATCGTGCAAATACTTGTCTGTGGAACTGCTGGCAATGCCCGCGCATTTCCTGCGTGGCCAGTCAGGAAAAGTTTGCCACCAAAGCCTATTCCTCTATGACATCGCGTCTTGGCGTTTTGCAGCCAAGGCTCAGCTTCACAAACTGACCTCATTTGCCAGAAAGCGCTCAGAAGAATGCAAAACCACAGCCCCAGCCAAGATGCTGCAGGTGGTTTTTCTGTCGATGTTGTCCAGAATACCCTGGGGCATGAAACTGCATACATGGTGTGCAAGCGTCAAAATTGTCCACGCCTCGTGCTCCAGGTGGTAACACTTCAGCTTCTCCATGCCAGGTAGGTCACCCACAGCAACCCTGAAGAGAGCTAAGGTACAAACCATCCTGACTCTGTTTCAGCCATGGCCTTGACATCAGAGTGGTCTTGCCGGCGCCATTCTGGCCAACTATGCCTAAGCTGGGCTTTCTCAGAGGGCTCAGCAAGAAGAACGGGGAGGGGTGCAACGTACGCGATGTGTGCAGCAGAGACCCCAGACCCTTACGCCTGCAACTCGTTTTTCGTGAGCAGTCTCCTGCCTCCAGCCTCAGCCTTCGTGACTTGGGATTAAAAAACTACGAGGTCGGACTTCGCCCAAGTGATGATCTTACTTGCTGCCTTGACTGTTCACCGCAAGCCTACGGTACTAGTTTCCCTAAGCACTTCGCACTGCCTGCCATGCATTGCACCAAGAGGTTCCTCGCTGGCAATGTCTCTGACACTCAGGATTTGCCATCATTAGTTCTGCTGAGGGTTCCCGACTGCTCGAGGCTGGATAAAGCACAGAGAGCACAGCAAAAAAAGCTCAGTGCCACTCCATATCGGCGGCCGCGTCGAAGTTCAAAAAGCGTGTTGCTCAGCAACGGCTTGACCTGATGAAATGCACCAAACCTGTCCATGCAGGGTCTTCTCAGTATCCTATGGGTCTCCTACCGTTTTCGACGGCCAACTCACCGTACATTAGAGGCTACGTCCGCGCCACAAGGCACTTACATCTGTGGTGGGTCATGTGAAGCAAAGTGCTTGTTGCAAACCTGCCGCCGAGGCACGCTACCTCCGTACATTAAGATCAAATTCCTGAGCATTGAGAAGTTTCACCCAGCGAACGTGCCCAAACATTCTCAGTGAGCCGCGGGATGCAGCAGACCAGGTCTTCGTCGGACTTTGAAGTAGAGGCGGTCTGCTCACATTGGCTGTGAAACGGCCCTGCATGGCTATGCCCTCAACTTCAAGGACGCGTCAGTGGGCCTCTTTGGCCGCATGCTTCTCGGGAAAAATCCTATCCTGACCAGTACAGTGCGACCCACAGGCTTTCCTCCGAGAGCAACTAAGAGCAGGTCTAACAACTCATTCAGGAACCCTTCGATGTCAACACCGGCCGCTTCCAGATGAGGCCTGGCCATTCCGTAAACCGTCTGTTCTCAGAAAGGCTCCAAGAAGATGGGTGATGCTCTCTGATATACTCCCTGCTCTTTAAGCTCCGCACGCCACTGTCTCCTCTAACTCTTCCGCAACGTCCGATCTTCGTGATGCCTCCTGCACGGGAGTTGCCCACGAGTCCCGCCAAGGAAAGTCACAAACTCGCTCGACACTCGAGATCCTGCTGAAGTTTGCCAGGCCTGCACATGTTCTGGTTCGATCCCTGCTTTGCTGTGAACGCAGGCTGCCCAGGAAGTATTACTATCTGGGAAGTCCCCTCTAGGACTCCAAATGGACAAGCTCCTGAAGCAGATCGACGGCAGCGGCCGTCACGTACTCCAGAACCTGCCCAAGACTGGCGCTGAGCACAAGTGACCAGATGACACCGCAGATTATCAGAAGCTCCGCTGCGCATTATCTGTTATGGTGCCTTATAATGTTCCCCAGTCAAGTCTGATGTCCATTACGTTCCATTACCTACAAGGAACTATTCCTATTGCTTGTCTGCTCATGTAAAAACAGAAATAAACAAACGTGGCAATTTCCACGCCGATGCTTCTGACAAAGCGCATGCTCCCAATACAGGACTCCGGTACCTTGTATAAATCACTGCTAGATTGCAAGACCCAAGCTGTGCCAAGGCAGTCTTGTGTCTGCTTCTGGGCTTCACTGATGATGGCAAGGGCATCGCGAAGCAAATCTACAGGGCTTTTAACTTTTCAGGGAACAAGAGCAATCCCAGTCTCTTAGCTTGTCTTGCGCCCTGCCGTGATGCCGTCAGATTCTGTCGGATCCTGTCGTCGCTCTGGAACCCTTTGGGGTGAAGTGCCCGTGGCGTCGGAGATTTCACGTCGCTGCGACATGCCACCGGCGCTGCCAGAATGGACTAGCCTCTCGCCTGTACAGGAACCCAGATCTCTAGACCACAGACCTTTTTGAACCCAGACTCTGATCTTTTCCAAGCCCAGAAGCCACCGGATAAGAGCTCAGACGGAGATGACAAGATGATAAGTGTTTCACAGATGTTTCTTCCACGCTTGTACACAATTTTCATACACATGGAAACAGTCAAAGGCATCATGGCATCCAACCCCCACACTCCAAAGTTGCCCATACGGATGTAAGGCATTCAATCCATGAAGACCCCAAACTTCCTTCGGTGCTGTGTTTTGTTGGCGCGAAGATCCGCAAAACGTTACACTGAGAACTGAAACTCTGCTAAAACCGCGCTACTCCTCTCAGCCTCTCGCACCCTTGCAGATTAGAGCCTGAACCCGATTTTCGTGCAAGCATTAATTAAGCTCTTGATTGCTGAAGAGCTGATGCTGATGAACCGGAAACCCTGATAGGCTGTAGAGCCACATCCTCACAGAACCGTCTGAACACAACTGAACCACTGATGGGCCCGATGCTACAGTCGCCTCATATCAACTGGGGGTGTCGGGGGGCTGGAACAAGAGCTAGTTCAGGTGCAGCAAAAGGCTCGTAGACATGCGCGCGGCGTACTGAGAAGCACTTTGCCCATTTTTCATTGTCAAATATTACATAGAAATGATATATGTATATATAATATATATAATATACATAATATCATTAATCAATTCATTGGCTAAAGTTGGCAGGATCTTTTCGCACCCTGCATTGGAAGCGTGGAATAGCCGTGGGAAGCTGATCTTCAGGCAGATCGGCAGGGTCATATGAGCCATAGTCGCACCTCCTTAAAGGAGGCTATATAGGGG